ACCTTTGATTAGCCAAGGATGTAGTTTACCATAGGCATCTGGTCTATAACATTGGTACATAATCTAGTACATATTGTTCAGTGATGGATTATTTGCTGATGATCCCACTTCACTTGCCTTAGCATAATTTTTCTGTTTGTTTTCTCATTTTGGCTTCTATTCCTTTACACATCCTGGAATATCTAAGTGTTTGGCCAGCAAGCTCTGCATTTCCAAAAATTGCTGGGCCTCTTGTATGGGCTGCATCACAGCCCATCTGCTTTTCCACGATCCTATTTGAATCCAGTGTCAAGAATCCCATAACAGAGCCCAGATGTTGAGCTCACTGCTGAATTCTCCAATGCACACACCCCTTCAGGGATGCATTAAGTCTCCTAATTGTGGAATAACATAAGATTCAGATCTACCTGACAAAAAAGATGCCTCCCTACACAAATTCCTCAAATTACTTAATTGTCACAGGCCAGCACAAATTAGTCAGTGAACCTGTACATTGCTTTGATTATCCCGACATCCTGAAATCAACTATCTCCCTTAACCTCGGTGTTGGAGAGGCTCATGATATTCCAGGACTGAATATCAAGTCAAACATCAGAAAAATCCTTATATTAGCAGATCCAGTGTTCCACCTTTAAGTTCTATGGCTATTGTCACTTTTTCCTGGCCCAAATATCTCATGGTAAAGTTTGTACCCTTAACTAAGCTCTTCAGCAGAGCTGGAATGATGATGTTTGTATGGACAAGACCGCAGCATTTTGAAAGGCCCTTTGAAAAATTAGTGGTTGTTGATGTTATTGTCAGGGCTGCTACCTTGAAACCAGCTCCTGGCTGGCTGAACTCTGCACTGACCCAGCACTGACTACCCCTTCAGGAATTAAGACCTTTAACAAGCCTTCATAATTCACCTATATCTCACTGATCTGTCACAGCAGAAGAGTGCACTGCAGAGCCAGCATGCCTCTTCAGAAACATTAAAACTTTTTGCATAAACCAGGTGGCATGTGACTAAAGTCTGCCTAGACTGAAGCAGCAGTTGGAGAACTATTTCTATACTATTAAATTGAAATGCCATCTCTAGTCAGACAGTGCTTGAGTTATAGAATGCCAGAAGCAGAGACAAGGTCAGACAAGTATCCTTGCAGCATCCTTTCACTCTGCCTTGCCCTCTTTGACCACAATGATCCTTCTGACCTCTGAGTGCTGTGCTACCTGGGCTTTTGATCTGATCTTGCATGTGCTTGGTGTTTTAATGTTACATTCAGTTCTTATTCTAATTCAAAATATTTTTCAGCTTGCCTATGATAATTCTGGAACATGGACACCATTTTTCTTATACTGACTTGGAAGATAATGGGATAATGTTACAGGAAAAAAAACCCAGGAGTGTTTCTTATCTCCAAATGGAAATGGCCCATTCAATATCACTTTATCCTCAAAAGCTTTAGTATCAATAGCAACCAGACCCCACTCTGCCACAGGGTTACAGAATTGTTTTCCTCATCAACACCTCACACCATCTTACCTTCTCTCCCAGATGGCAGGACAGACAGCTTTCCTTCCCATTGTCAGGTTGATTAGCTGTATCTCTAGAGGTTCCTTGGCACCTTCAGGACAGGCAGGACTTCAGTGCATTCCTCAGTGCAATCAAAAGAGCAGCATCAGTAGCAGCCTTCCAGAGCTGGGCATGCTTTTTCTCTTGGTCAGCTTTTCCCAAATCTCTGCTTCTTATGGACTCACAAGAATCTTCCAGAAGGCTTCTACTTTGATCCAGTTCTACTTTCTTCCACAGTTTCTGCTGTCTCAGAAATAAAAACACAAAACCTGCATTTGTGGCTGTCTGTTGGGCAATTGTGATGGCCTTGAGGGCTCGGGGTCTGCTGTGCAGAATGACACAGTGGGACCAAGTCCCTGGCTGTATGGAGGGGTGTTTCCACCAGCTTGCAGTGGGGTGTTTTCACCACCAGCCCTCAGAAATGCCAGTACCAGTTTCCATGGCTCTGGCCCAGCTGTTTCCCACAAGTGCTAATGCACTTCTCCCATGGCAGGTCTAACTCAGGGAACATGCACCCCCACACACAGATGATTCAGAAGACATTGTACCCAAAGACCTACTCCTGTCTAATGTCAGGGCTTCTAGAAAGATACTGCCCTACTTTATTTTCCTGGGGAAATCCTCCACAAATTTCAAGGGGAAAGGCTGTATTTTGATTCCTATTTCCACCTTAGTGCCTTCACGTGGTTGAGAAAGCCTGTTCCAAGCTGTGCTTCTTCATCTGAAGGCTGTAGTTTAACAGCAGTCTGGGCATGCTGCCTTCTTAGTTGACACACAGTGCCACCAGCAGCCCTTTCCAGGGAAGTAAAATATCATCTCGATTCATTTTCCCTTTGCCAGGGACGTTCAGCCAGAAGGCTGCTATTGCCATCACACTCATCTCAGGCATTAGTTTTTTTTTTTTTTTTTTTTTTTTTGTTTTTTTGTGTTTTGTTTTGTTTGGTAAGGAGACATTACTTTTGCACAAGAAACATCATTTGAATGTTAGATCACTGGAGGCTGATCTGCTTTCACACTGAATGACTGCATTCACAGAGCTGCTGGACACACCCAGCCCTGAGCCCTGCCTTAGCTGCACTCCACTTCAGAGAGGACATTGCTCCTGTCCCTAAAACAATTGTGTTTCTTTGATTAGTAAGAAAAAGTAAGGCTCTAACATGCAAACAAACCTTTTCATCTTGGTGTCTCAACAGCTCTAACTCCTCCTTACAGACTTGGATGCTTGTCACCTTCACTGACCTGTTGACTGAAGGAACAGGAATTTTTCATCAGTCTGTCCAGACCCATCAGCCACCACAGACCACTGCTTTGCTGGAGAGTCTCCATCCACACTGTTGATCAGAAAAGGCACAGAGAAGTCTAATGAGGTAAAAATCCCAAGGGTTGTGCAAACACTTGAAGTTTTAATATCACCAGGCCTCATGTTATGTGGTCATGGAGAACACTTCATTAGTTCCTCCATATAAAGAATCGTTCACATTTTTAAGATTTTAAGAAACAAAGGTTACTAACATTACCTGGGTTACTGGGATGTAAAATCCACATGAACACTTTTTCCTGCTTTTCTGGGCTCCACAGCAGTTCGAGGGTGCGATGAGCGGGACAGCTCACACCAGTGCACACACCCGAGGCAGCGGCGAGTGAGGCTCCCCACGACAGGAGGGACAAACTGGTTTCAGATTTCAGGGTCACTTACAGTTTATGCTTTGGGTTTTATTCAAAACCCAAGGGAGCCAAAATCTCCTACATTTTTTTGACAGCCTATCACTTTTTCTAACTAGATTCGTTCTATGTAGAGAGTCCTTTTACATAGTGCCAGCCAAGCTACACAATTTACAGATCCAACACTGCAGGAGTTCAGAGTAGGGTAAGTTAAGTAGTTCAGAGTAGGGTAAGTTGCAGGGTAAGTAAAGTCAACAGCCAGAGGACCAAATACTGGCAACCACTTCTGATGTTTCCTGAAAGCATATATATGTATACCCTGGAAGATAACCACGGACACTTCTCAGAGAATATCAGAATACTTGATGTTCTCATCAAAGTAAGCAGGGTAAGATTATGGAACACAGCAAGACCCAGTATTCTTATGCCTTTCACAGCAATGAGAACAACCAGGAACAGAAACATTGCCTATTTGTTTTCCCATATTTCTTTTCACCTATTACAGTTGATGGATCTAAGCACACCAGCAGGGAGCAAACAATACATGCTTTTACAGAAACAAAGTTTGTGTTCAAAAGTGTAGATAATTTCTTCTTCATGTTCTTAAGCTCTCCTTATGACCTTGCCTCCATAAATTCTTGCACAATTTGATATTTTTTAAAGTAAAAGGAAAATTGTGCTTTATATACAGCAAAATCTACCAAGAACCTTTTGTGTTTTTACAGGCAGTGGTATGTTTTTCTTGCAAGAAGACTCACAGATCAAGAGTTAAGCATAAAATTTTACCATCTCTGGCATGGTGTAATAGATCTCAAGTTTCTCGATGTAGTTTTAGATTTGGCTTTAGGAACTGCAGTTTGGAGGCAAATGGTATGGAGGAAGCAGGCAGTTGTGAAGGAGACTGACTGGCAGTAGGGAAAGAGAATGCACTGATTCTGGCAAGCCATCAGTGGGGACAGTGTCTTTGGTGCTTTGTCCTAAGTGTGCTGTAGGTTCTCCTGGTGCCAGGGTCTCTGGCAATAAAGAAAGATGTCCCCTCCTTCCTATCGATCCCTGTTTCCATACATAAAAGGGTGTTGCCTACATGAATAGTCTGTGATATAACTCCAGGGTTTTGTCAAAAGAGCTTTTTGAAATCTGAATACTGAAAAATGCACTGACTTGATATGGTTGGGAAGCAAGAATCCCATTTGTAAAAAAAGAATTTGTGTCTTTTGTGTCCTGATTTAATGACATCTTCCTTTGCTAAGGAATCTTCTCAGGAAAAAATAAAGTTTGATTGAAACATGTTTCTTGGAGGAAACATAAATGAACTGAGATAAGACACAGTAAAAACAATACAAACTAGACCTGGCCTTTGGTTCTACTCTCGAGTTAATTTCCTATGAGCATATTAAATCTACCTAATTATATCAGGGCAGGTGATACAAAATTCCAAATATTTCCATGTGGCAGTTCTCAGTGGGAATTTAAGTTTTCATTTCACTGGGAAAAAAACCTGAGTCCCCACAGATGCAACATAAGGTACCTAGATAAAACTCAAACCACATTTAATATTTGTAACATTGCAGTTTCCTAGATTTTGAGATATGGGGGTTTCTATAAAGATAATAATCCATTTTTACTCTGTAAAAGTATAGTAAAACGAAAAATTCAAATATTTTATTTACTTCACCTAAAAAACAAGCAACCCATGAGTAAGATATACATAGGTTTCCCAGATTTCTCCCTAATAAATTTTTTAAAGATTTATACAATTTCTACAGAAACATACAGTGTATCAAAATCTGCATAAATCAAATTTATAAAATATGTAGAAATGCATAGTGATTTTATCATCAACTTACAAAGCAAGAATATGGGAATTATTTTTTTCCAAGCCGGCTATAGTAGGAAAAAGTCATTACAGCAACAGCTTCTTATGATCTCATGTTTTGTAAGGTTTCAGTCTCACATACAGATTCATATTCACATACAGCATCAGCTTTCAATGAATTGCACATAATACCCATTTAAAATGCACACCTGCACAATCTATGTGCCACCATTCTTTCTCTTATGCATAGTTGTATGATTAAATTAATCTACCCAACACACAAATGGAGTCAGTTTTCACACACACAAGGAACAAGTACCAGCACAAAACCTTATTTTCCTTTTTTTTTCCAGTTTCTCCCTCCTTTATTTTCTATTTTTCATAGCTCTGAAAGGATAGATGAAAAGTTTAAAGAAACTAGGAGAGATCCCAAACTAATAGATCAGTGCTGACAGCCCTACAAAGATCCAACTCTGTCACCAAATATGATACATAACCCTTGTTAACATCAATGGAAGCTGCATGCAATGCTATTCTAGACTTCAGGGAAGTATTTAGTCATACTTAATTGTGTGACGTGTTATAGAGACAACAGTTATGGAATCAGTACGCTGATGTCAACATTTAAGTTACAAAATCTGGACAAAAGAAGTTGAGGATAAGTCATTTCCTCTCCACCTCTCTATTTGTTCAGAGTCAATATTTATATTCCTAAGGGAGTTCACATCAACTCCTTTCCAGAACATCTTTATAAACAACTCCTTCACATTCTACTCTGTACATTATAGCACCAAGCAGCTGGTTTTTCGTGTTTGTAATCCCTCTGGAGAGGTTGTGAATGACAGAAATAACAAGAAAATTGGTACAAACAAGTGTGATTTCAGGATTTCCATTTCTCTTTTGGAATCTAAATCTGGCATCCAAACTGGCTGACAGATGTCCTTGTGATGAATTACACAAATGAATTAAGTAGCTGGATTTTTTTTCCTAATTCAAAGTTTTAGTTCACCTCTAAGTGAATTCCATTCAAAATAGCAGTACAAATGAAGTATTTGATTCTTTACAAGTTTTACATAATTGTGCAGCTTGTTTGTTGTTGTTGTTGTTGATTTTAATTATTCTTACGTAAGGCATGGTTTAAACAAACAAATTAGTGCTTATAAATTCTTAACTGGATTCGTGAGGGTGCTTACCTCCATCAAACTGTACCACATTAGCACTAAACTCGACTAAAGTCTTCCTTCCACCGTACCAAGCACTCAGTCGAAGCAGAGCAGCCAAATTGGCAACAGAAATTTGTCTTCATTAGCCAAAAAACAGTAATTACATAGGGTGGTACGGTTGGTCCCTACCCCTGGTGACAGCTCAGAGCAACCCACTGTAAATTTCCAACAAATGCTTTCCTTGTCAAAGAGAGAAATGAAAGAGGCACTAAATATGTTGAAATTCATCTTCCAAAAAAGCAGCATGATTGTGAGAGAAGGCCACCCTGGCTAATAACCTGTGGCAGTGCTTAGTAAGATGTAAAATTAAATAAAAATATACAACAGGTTGATAATCACCAAGTTCTATGAAAATCTGATTACTACAACCTTTTCAAGTGTGTGTAAAAAAACTGCCTTCAGACCCCTGAGTGTAATCCCAAAGAAGACGACAACGCTTTTAACTATGTTCCTATGAACCATAGCTAACAGCACATTAATTTACCAACATCTTGAAACAAAAAGATGTAAACATCTACAGAGTTTAAGGTAAAGCAGTTTTGTAAACATTAACTGCGGATGATAATGTTATTATTGTAATAATCACAGTTCCTCTATGTCCTTCATCCAAGCCAGGAGGCTCACAGCTGTACAAAGTTAATAACTGCAGCAGTTTTCAGGCTATTTTCAGTCCTGTACAAATGAATGCGTCAGTAGGTAGGTTTTGTCTGTCTACACACTAAGGATGTTGTTCATTTCCCATTTTTGTGTTGCTTTACTGGAGTCACACTCTGAAATGAAAACTTGATGGAGGACTTCGGAGCGATCCAAGCACTTCCCTGACGGAATGTGAGTAAATCTGTGCAGATTCTGAAAGACAAAACCACCAGGAAAACGTGTTGGGTTTTTGTGTTGGGTTTATTTCACTTGTTTGGGGTTTTTTTTTTAACATTTTCTTTACATCTGCAATATAGTTTTTTACAAAACAAGGTTTCAGATCAGTTTTACACTCATTTTACTATTTGTTAAACATAGCACTTTGCAGCCTTCATATTAAATCTTTGGTTCCTGTAGGTCCTCTTGAGATGCCTCCCGTTTCTCTTAGGCAACAAACTGCTAACAAAACGAGCAAAACTGTATCTAAAATGCTTCTAGCCTTTTCATCCATCCTGTAACCAAACTAGAAGATTAACTCTTGAGGAAAGCTCTATGAGGACTTCACTGGGCAGGTCCTCCTCCAGTCAGCCCTCACAGAAAACAAATGCACAACACCAATATTAACACCACAAGGGTAAAAAAAGTACTAACTTGGCTCCCTGTTTGGCTGGCAGAAGAAGGAGTAAAGAGTGTGAGAGTTAAGTCTGGCTTCTGGAGCAGCAGGAGGCTGCCCAAGGAAGTGCAAACCTATTGCACCAGGCACGTTCAGGCTGACTCTCGCACATCTGTCCCCTTCCACACCCACCCTGCTCCCATCTTCTGTGTTTGGTCTGTGGCTCCTCTCCTGCTTGCTGACCCCGTGTGCCAGAGGCAGCCCCGACTCGCTGACTGGCTGTATCCAGTGTGGAGGGGAAGGCAGCAGAAGCAAGCCCATGGCACTGCAGGGCTGGGGCTCTGCAGCCCTGCCCTGTGCACACACACACCCCAAGCATGGGGACCCTCTCCATCACCCCCACACACGTGTGCACAGCCAAATGTTGGTTCAGATCAATACTTGGCTCCTGCTGTGTGGCCAGATATGGGGGCCGTCTAGTTGGAGAGAAAAATGGATGTCTAAACAAAAGCAACAGGCTGACCACAACCAGCCCTGTTCTCCATGTTTGCTTACAGGCACTGAAGCCCTCAGTGTAACCCCTCAGTGTAAGCCTCAGTGTAACTCCTCAGTGCTCAAGCAGCACATGTTACACCTACCAAACTGGCACACTGTTTGTTTCAGAGAAAGCCAACAGACAACCAGAAAAAATCTCCTTGCAGCCTTAATTTACACAAGGCCACAACATTTTTCAGCAGTCCATAAGTGTCTCATTCCTTACACCTTTGCTTAGAAGAAACACTTATACCCACTGTACTGCACAGCAGTGTGCCTAATTCCCAGTATTTGGTTGCACACCCTTGGTGGTCCTTTCATTCTCACCCTCCCTTTTTTTCCTTCTAGAAGCCAGTCAGTGTTTTGTTCTACAGCCCAGTCTGTGCTTACTGGGCTTCCTCATAACTTGTGGTAATGAGCAAACAATTACACAACTGATGCTAGTGTAGAGGAAATGGATCTTGCATAAATGAAATTCTTAGAGAGAAGCCAAGTAACATGCTGGGACACACTAGAAAAGCTGAAGAGTTAAAAACAGCTATGTATTATTCTGCTGAAATATTAAAGCTGAAGTTGGCACTTACCTGCCACTGCTTATTGATTTTTACATTTCAGGTTTAAAGAAATTTGTCTGTCTATCCAGCACAAGGAAGCTGAGCTGGATGGAAATGGCATTATGGTACCTGATATTTCCTAGCTCTATGCAAACAGCAGAAAAAGTGGAGTAGCTTAAAGGATAACAAATAGATTTCACTGCACTCAACTGTGCATCTTTCAGACAAACAATAAAGAGTCCAGATAAGCAGCTAATGAATTAATAAATATGCAATATGCTAGCTCTATAAGCAGAAGAAAAAATGACATTGAATAGTTTCTTAGACGTAGAACCAAGTTATATGTTGCTATATCCAAGGAAAACGTCCCCCCTAGACTATTCAGTCTGATTTTCTTAAGAGACAAGCAGAAATAGAAACGTAGGCATGCTTTAAGCAACACTAACAAAACTTATATGAATAGAGGACTTACAGATGTAATGACTAAATAGACTGTAGCAGCCCTCACATGTATATCAGCCAACATTCCAAGTCCTTATTAAAAATTTATAGATTTTGCAATAGCACTAGAACAGCACCACACCCAGGATTAAGAACAGAGCGTGTTATTGTTACTAGAGAATGCCTAACGAACAGTAAGTGAAATACTGAAGAAGACAAAGACAACACAAAAAGGCAGAGTAATCTTGCATTTACCTGCTTCTATGTAGGCTTAAAAATATCTTTTTTTATGAGAAACACTTCATTTAGACGGCCTAAAATGAGACCTAATACTGACTCTAGCTTCTAAATGCACTCCAGCATTTAAGCCATCTTCTCACAGCATATATGAAATAAAGAGACCTTCTTGATATAGAGCATAGAAGTAGAGAGGATGATGGCACTAAAAGCTTGTATAAAGTCTGTCACTAGTAGTGGACATGCTCTTTGCTTCCTCTGAGACACAGGCTAACTCCTAATGTCTCTGTGGCAACAAATGTAGCCTCATGGAGCTCTCCTTAAAGATTTTGCTACAGAACACAGCAACTAGATTCACCAAATGAAAAGATCTTTCACTAGAGGAAGTTTTTCTAGCAACCATGTATTTCTGAGAATGTACCATTAAAAATTTACTAGATTCAGTTAACCTTATAACAGATCTTTAATTTCAGATATACATAAAACAATTTATAAAGCTGAAAAAACCAGTATGAAATCTAAAAATTATTTATATCTGTTGCATACCTTGAAGAATTGCCACTCCTTGAATTCATTCTGATTACAGTGTGTAATCATAATTTTGGATCCATCTGGTCCTTTAGTTAAGCACTGATCGTACTGCATGAGTTGATTGGCTTCATTGATTCGGAAAAGCTAACAGAAAAGAAAAAGCCATTTTCATAACAGTTGACTCAATGAGCATTTTATAAACATTGCAAATACAATGAAATTGCAACATTCAAAACATTTTCTGCTTTCATTACACCTGTCTTTCAGGAGGGCTCCTTATTTTGCATAACACACTTTTATCACAAATTTTTTTTTTATCACAATACTAAATTTCATGGTTAACTTTCATGTAGGACTTAGAAAGCCAAGAAACTTAACCAGAAAGATAAAAATGGCAAAGGGAGTCCTATTCAGGAGACTTCTAAAAGTGTTTGATTACAAACCTTTGTACGATTTGATGGCCAAGCAACCCATTATCTTTATAAAAGCGTGGTAGCAAGTCCTTGATCCTGGACCGTAACTTCATGTGAAGGCACTAAAATTTTGGCATTTTACCCATGGAGGAAATCAATCTAATTCATCCAGATACAAAAAGATTATCCTAGCTACTTCTTACAGAATAATTGCTACAGGGTTTTTTGGGTAGCACATGCAGAAAAAGTAGTTTAGGGAAACTTCATTAAGTAACAGAATAAAATAGACATTTCCAGGGGCTACACTAAGAGCTAATCCAGACAGGATTTCTAAAAACATCATCCTAAATGCAATTTTATGATTGCCATGAAAAAAACTGCCTGGTTTATGTTTACATGGGCTTAAATAAGGACTTTAAATTCTGAAAAATTTTCCAACCAGAAAAGAAGACATAAAGACAGAACAGCATGTCTGTGTGGTAGTGTGGGCAGGTTTGTGAAGACACAGGTCAAACACAATAAAAGCTTGGATTGCAACCATCTAATAGTAATTGTGTTCTGGCAATTAATTTGTAAATGAAGCAGAGATAAATTTCTGCTCATTTTATTCTCTAATGTGGTGGAAGATGAATTACGGCACAGAAGTGTTTTATGCTTAGACCAAAACAACTTTGTTACATACTTGAGCCACAGTAAAGGTTTTTTCCTGAAGGATTAATTATTAAAGGTAAGTGGTGAATCAGGAGCAATGCTAAGAGATAAAGCAGTGATACTGTTGCTTCTTCATGTACCTGTTTCCCTGAAGAATGGATTATGAATTTGCCTTCAATTTCATACCATTTATGCTTGAAATGGTATTTTCAGACTGCTGTAGTTTAGCAATATCAGTATGCTTACAGAAAACCTGAATTCCCACCTTTGTAGCTGGCACCTAGGGGAATTGATGTACAGGCTTAACAGAAAACCTGCCTGTTATCAATCCACAGCAAGCAATTCCCCTTCAGACTTGCCTCCAAGCTCCTTACCTGATTTCCTCCCATTCTGTGGCATGGCCCAAGCTCAACAAAGCCACCATTGGTGTGCCCCATGCTGTCGATGCAGTAAGAGGTTTCAAAGCCTCTAATCTGGAAAACAGGTTTTGCACTCAAGTTAGTCTCAAGGGAAAAATAAGTACTGAGGAATTCAGAAAATTCTCACTTATCTCTCAAACCAGAAACAGGTATCTGACAGAGATATTAGACAAACCTGTGTATGGAATTTAAGTACTGATGTTAACTGTTCTGGGAGATGGAGCTTCAACCTGCCCACGCTAATTTGCAGGCTCTTCCATGAGTCAGAGTATGCTGATAAAGCCAGAGTTGCAAAGCTCAATTACTAATTAACAACATCAAAATATAGGACTTCCAAGTATTTCAATTTATTCACTCTCCTATCAGAACATGTTCCATCTCCCAGGTCTTCATAAATAAGCTCAGGTAAGTAGCTCTCATTTTGCGGATGAAGAGAAACAAGATGCAGAGAAGTTATGCACAGCAGCAATTACCCACAGCCAGACACAGCCCAGTGACCCAGCTGCTCAGATGGACCTTCTGCAGCAGCAATTACACAGACGAAAAAAAAAAGGAAATAAAATTGATGAGGGGCAGGCATAGGCACAGGGATAAAGAACAGAAGTCCTGTCATAAAGCATGTCTCAACTGCTGATTATCTCACTCCCTTCTCAGAAGGGCCAACAAGCAGCCTTACAAAGACTTTATGACACAAATAACAAATTTTCCAGACCGATTTTCATTGCCAGAGCCTCTTTCCTCTTTGTAATGGTATAAAAAGTCTGAAGGACTAAGCTTAGACTCTTCCAGGGAATGTTAGGGAAGATGAACCCCATACTTTCATACCCTAGAGTGTGGAAATGCAATCAGTGTGGTGTTACAAATGGGGGGAGGGGGGACAGGACTTCTCAGGTGTAGGATAACTAGCAGCCTGTGAAGAAGAGTTGAAGAAAAATTCAGAGAAGTCTCTGAACTTAGAATTTTCCTGTTGCTTCACCAGACCTACTTGCTTTTATCAGGGATGATTTCCTGCAAGGTCGCCAGTATTATTTTATACTTTTCAGATGCTTTCACTTCGGTGAACAGCAATATTTAGTGTACCTTCCAAACCCTTTATGTAGATACCTGAGGAGGTCTAAAGCTCATATAGTAGCTGATGCTTTGTGCTAGCTTTTAGGTAAGAAATCAAGGTGGCATTGTTCATCTGGTCCATCAGACAAAAGATTATCTGTACCCCCTTTCACCACGCACATGCTCTGTGTCACTAATTCGAGCATTAAGAAATTAGAGATGACGCTTGCTTGGTGATAGGAGACAGCAGAGATCTGTATTTTCTAATGTGCTTTTGAAGTTGCAAAAGCATGTATCACATTCATCATATCTTAGGAAAGAAGGCTGCTAAATTTGGTGGGACACAGGAGTTCTCCTCAGCTAGCAAGATTTTCTTAATTTCCCTCAACAGTCTGCAAAAGTGAAATAAATAGGAGAGACAGAGCAAAGATATAATCAATTGCAGAGGGGGAAAAAAATCTGAAAGCAGGCAGGGGACTTGCAGTATGTGCTTGCCAAGGTGTGGGCTGAATGCCAGAATGAGACAGGCAGAGTTCAGTGAGGAGTCCTGCACCCACCTGTGATATGCCAACTTTCTCTGCCAACCACTTGAAAGTGCTGCATTTGCAACCACATTCTTAATTTAGTAAAGTCATAATTGTATACACTAATGCTGCAGACAATGGCTACAGAATCATATCAAATTATTACATGCAGGCAAGGGACTAGCTGAGGCTGTATGAGTACATCCCAGTCTAGCAAACACAGGCAGAATTCCACCTGGATTTCAAGATCTCTTCTCTAGGCCTTCACACAAAAGATATTTTCACCTAGTAAACTTCACCAATACTTCTATATGCAGTATTCAAATGACTTCCTTTGGAGAAAACTTAAATTCTAATTACAGAAAAAAGTGCTTTGGGCAGGGTTAGACATAAATTATCTTTCAAAGACCTGTGGAACTAATTAAAAAATCCCACCTGCAAAAGTAGATACATTTTTTTTTCCTGGGTTACATCTTTACAGCTCTCTGGTTAGTATCCTATAGCTTAGTACAGAAGTAATCAAATAGCCTGCTCCCATGTCAAGTCACAATTGTTTCCCTTTGAATTCACAGTTTTTTAAAAAAAGCTCCTAAAATACATAGGTGTTATGTGCTGTACCCACCTCTCCCCAGTCCACGTTTTTGGGTGGTAAGGGGTAATATGAAGTTATATCATATGCTATTTCTTCCATAAACCACTTAAAACTTTTGCAGTTGTGATCTTCACGGAATTTTTTCAGCTCAGATATATCTCCATAGGGTAGCGCCTTTGTCTCGGGCCGGCTGGCGTAGAAGTAATCTTTGTATTCATCCCACCACACTTCTACAACTCTGACATAGTTCTGTGAAGAATAAACACACTGCTGTGACCTCAAAGCACACACAAACAGGCCAGAAGCAACTCCTTGTTAAAAATAGAAATTTAAGGATTTATCCTCTTAGGAAGTGACAGCACAGTATTATTATACAGCACTAATAATTTGCCACTATCAGCAGCCTATACAAGACACATGAATATTATTTTCAAGTGATAGTTTGGGACTGAAGCCAGCAAATTAAACTGGGCTGCTTAATGAGAGTGCAAAGTCTTTTTCTAAGATTAGAGATTGTTTATTTGAAAATAAACATTTTTCAGTTACAGATGCAATAAAATGTTGCATTTATTTGCTTCTGTCAGAACTGCAATTCATGGTTTCTATTCACCTTCAACAATTTTTTAATGAAGAGACTGATATGCATTCCACTAACAGGGAAAAAATTCAGTCTTAAATGGGTCAGCTACTTGGAGAAGGGGGAAAATTGGATAGCTCACTTGGTAACAAGCCTCTGCCTCACATCTTTCTTATTCTCTTTGATGGCTCCTATCTCTATGAACTGCACACATTCTAGATGCACACCTCACTTTGTCCAATTCTTCTAGTGTTACATTTGTTAAAACAGTCTTCAAAGATTTGACTGAAGGCACAAATTATTGTGACTTTAATCCATATCCGGCATAAATTGAACAAAGCTATAAAAGATGACATTTACTGTGAGGATAGGAGGGTGCCTGAAGAGAGGGAAAAGCTGCTTCTACATCCTGCCTTGTACAGAGAAGGAACTTAATATTTAAGAACACTCAGCAGTGCTCTTTATATTCAGTAAGCAGGCCAGCAGACTCACGTAAGGTATTAAGATATGCAATAAATATTTTTGACCAGCTTTTAAGAAGACTGAAATGATTTTTGTCACTTCAGACAAGGCAAACTAGCATCTTGCCTGCACTGAGCAATAGACCTGTCACTTGCTATCCTGCTGACCATTACTCTGTCCCTAACCCCAGATATGTCTCCCTGGGCTCCCTTGTACTGGTCCTAGTCCTTGTTTCATCAAAATGTTAATCAACTCACATTACTAATACAGGACTTTTTTGGGGAGTGTGGGGATGTGGGGGTGTGTATGCCAGGTTAGTTTTTACCATTCAGCTAGGCTGGGACGTTGCCTTTGGAACTAACTGTTAGGTTAGCTCAAGCCATACTCTATAACCCTACAGGTACTCATCTTAAGATCTTAAGATACTAAATCACTTTGGATGAAGTGCTCTCTAAACTGTTACTGATAATTTAAACACATTTATCTAAAACTGTTCTTATCTGAAATCAAAAACCACCTTCAAGGCTGCTTCAAAACTGTACCTTTAATGTAGGAGAAGACCCAACATAGACAGGGGGTGGATTTCCTTGCCAGCCCTGGAGACGATAGATGTGTCCAACACGAGAACAGGGAACAAACAGCAGTTTTCCCCCACACTGCCAGATCTACAAGTTAAAACAAAGGTATTATTAATATATATGCAAAAGAATTTAAGACAGACAAATAGATAATAAATTATGGAAGAAATTTCAGCTACATTTCTTACTATACTATCATATATTCACATATTTTTTGCTCCAGATATAAGCATAAAGAAAATAGGCCTTTGAAGTGAAAGATTTTCTGAGTACTCAGAAGGAGTACACTTTCAACTCAGCCAGGAAGTTACTCAACTAAAGCAATTTTTAAAAAGCTTTTTAAAAAAGTTGGGCATCTTATTCCATCACTGTTTTAGAACAGTAATGAACGAGTGCACAAAATCAGGAACTGGGTAATTTTTATTATGACAGTATTATTGCTATTTTGATTTTATTGAAGTAATTCACATGCCATCACTAAGATGGGTTTTGGTTAGATGTCCGTTCATATTTAAGTTTTTCTTACTAAAGATTAGTCAGAGATAAGGATGTGTTAGGTAACCCATTGCTCCAAGAAGAAACAGATATTTGACTGTAGTATCTGAAAATAAAAAAAATGAGCAAAATATATTACCATTCTGAAATTCCCTCACTCACACATATCTTTGGATAATTCCTTAATGGGGGAAAGAAAATATACTTAAATTGGAATTTAGTTGCTCATAGTTTGGAGAAGTTTAATTGTAGCACCAAATCCTAATTCAAGCTAACTTTGTCAATGTTTCAAATTTGTCTAAATTCCAGAATAAAATATGATTTACCAGTATTAGAAAAGATGAGCAGAGTATCTTACTTTCTTCATTGCATCATGATATTAATTTTCTTAAGTTTCATCAAAAAAGCTCCTGAGGTAAGCAAGGCCATTAATTTTATTTGCTATCTAGAAGTCAGCACTCAAGGCTGATAAATGTTTAGTTCTTCTGAAGATTGGTTGTGATCTACATGAAACCACTTTGGAGGTGTCTACACAATGAGCATTTCAATTACAGAACTACTGTAAGTAATTTCAGTCATGATTTTGATCTAAGCAAGATGGAGAATTATATGGATAAAGACCCCGTGTGCATAACATCCTCAATAAATACCTTTTGCATATGGATTTACAGCTGAGCAAGTGCACTCAGAGCTTTCCTCTAACTCATGAAGAGCTTTCCACTGTTATTGAGTAAAGAACTCAAGAGCAAAAGTAACTAGGGGAGCTCTGAATGTACTTTTTGTAAAATTCAGCAACGATTTTACAGATTGCTGTTGAGGATGTAAGACATCTTCACTTTGGTCTGTTAACTGGGACTGATTCCTGCTGTCTGCACTTGTGTCATTACAAATACTGAAGCTACAAGAAGCTAATGACGATCATTGTGCGTTTCCTGCAAACTGAAGAGCATGCATATGCCTAGGAGTGAAAGTAAAACCCTTCCCAGTGATTATGAATTATGCAGTCAGTATTTCAGTTATGAAGATTTCTCTTGTGAAGAAGTTCTTGAAATGCTGAAAAGCATATGAAGCAATTTTTCACTCACAAAAATGGCAGGCAGGAAGCAGATTACTTTTTGTTGCACCATTATATACTTTCCAAGTGCACATGCATAAGCTGAGGACTACTTGTTCTCTATCATTGCTTTCATTAGAAACAACATTTTTCTATACTCATGATGAGAACAGTCAGTTTCCTCACATCCAATTTGCCAGTTTCATAATGGATATTTGGGCAGTTAGGGGTGCAATCCTAAAGTGTTTACAAAATCTAGGTTATGCATCATTTGGATTTCAGCACGAAGCCACCTCTCTAAACACTCCTGTCCCAAAGTCCACAAGGAAACACTGAGGAGACACATCTCTGTCACATCTCCTCACACCAAAACTTGGGCTTCATGAGGAAGAGGTAGGTCTGTCTAAACTCCAAACAGAAGTATTTACAGGAAAAAAAATCTATTTAATGGAATTAGTTTTCAAATATTGGTGTTACCTTGTAAGAAATTTCAAAATTTTCACCACCCCAGATCTGAAGCCCTGGATCATAGAGACCCAGTTCAAAGAAGAAATCACGTTCAATGGCAAACAATCCACCAGCCATCGCAGGGGACCTGCAAAGAGGAAGACAGTGTAACTCCTTCTGCCAAAAGGATACAATACCACTCAGAGAAAGCTTTAGGGAAGAAACCAATTCAGCTAACATATAGTAAAGATCAGGTAAATGGCAACACACTGAAAAATCATAAAGCTTTGTCATCAGTTTGCAGCAATTTTCTGAAGTGGCATCTTTATAACTTTTAGTGAGGCCACAGTTTTTTATTATGTTGTGGGTTTTCTTCTACAATTTATTTAATTAATGAATTTGATGATAGAAAATCTTGGTCCAAATTTTCCATTCAGCCAGTCAACATCCTTCTATTAAAATAAAAAAACAAGATGAGAATCAGTGTAATGAGATGTTTCTCTCTTAAAAATTTTTCCAGTTTTTGAGATAATATGAAACTGCAAACAGATTTATGTTCTGAAGAGCTGCCACATTGAAACACGTTGTCTATTAAACAAGTAAGAAGAGTTCTTCCAGCTTTCTGATCTTCTAGCTTTTTTTGTCCTATTAGGAGACACTTTACACAATGCTTGGTAAAATTTTAGAGGGCCTAGATAAAGTAGTACAAGGTTTCCATTTTGGTTTAGTCTTTTTATTGTTACCCTTTCCCTTTTAATGACTTTGTAAATCCCTTTCCATATGCCATGATTCAATTAGAAAGTTTTAATGTGGCAAAAAGATGCTGTGGTCAGGATTACAGCTTGTGCTGGTTTTGGCTGGCGTGGAGTTAATTTTCTTTCCAGTGGCTGGCATGGGCTGTGTTTTGGGTTTGTGCTGAACACAGGGCTGATAATGTGGAGATGTTTTTGTTATTGCTGAGCAGGGGCTGCACAGAGCCAGGGCCTTTTCTGCTTTTCATCCTGCCATGCTGGGGAGGAGACAGGGGATGAATGGGAAGCTGGGAGGGGACACAGCCAGGACAGGTGACCCAAACTGAGCACAGGGATATTCCAGACCATGTGGCATCAGGCTCAACCTATGAAAATTGGAGGAAGAAGGGGGAATGTTTGGAGTGATTGTGTTTGTCTTCCCAAGTCACTGTTGCACATGATGGGGCCCTGCTTTCCTGGAGATGGCTGAGCACCTGCCTGCCCATGGGAAGCAGTGAATTCATTCCTTGTTTTGCTCTGCTTGGGTGTGTGTGCTGACTCACAGCACAATTAATTATCAGTTTAGTTGCTGTCCAAGTTAGGTGATCACATGCCAAAGTACTGCTACACGTCCCTTTCTACTTGCTGCCTATAGTATTTTCCCCCAACACTGCTTTTGCATCCTGGGGTTAAGAAGCCAGAAGACACAGCAGGGGAAAGCACTTTTTGCATAGCACAGCCCCGTGGCTTTCCTGCACTTTTGGTTTTCCTCAGCACCGTAAAGACTTGGCAAGTGTAGAAGCCTCAGATACTGCAGTTTCAGGCTTGGCCTCCAAGATGCTGCCAAGTGTGTTAAAGAACAGAGTAAAAGCCACATAAGCTCAGTAGTTTACTTCATAGAATACAAAGAGGTAAGCACGGTTACTGAAAGAAAGATTCAGTCCTGGGGCAATTCTCACGTTACAAAAACGTTGCCTCGACACTTTAAGCTGCTGAGGCTCTTTTTGTTTTCCTTTTAAGCTAAGCAATCCTGGCTATGGTTTCAGCAAGACTTTTACTTGGGCTTACTTGCCTTGGTATTGCTGCAAGAAAATGCACACAGCCTAGAGACAAACAGATGCAGGGCATGTCTCTTTTTAAAGGAAGCATTGTAAATCTGAAGGTATTATTAAAAATAAAGTCATCTTTTAAAACATTCTGAGAACATGTGTTCTGTGTTTCTGGGAACAGTTTAAACGATTTTAAGACCTGTTTGGATGGTAAACACAGAACACTAAAGCAATGTTTGAAATAGTTTATCCCCCTCTAAGTGAATATTAAAGTTCCAATGTGGACAGCCTCATCAGAAAATGGTATTATTTAAACTGTATACAAAACAGATCAAAGCTTCATAACTTGCTTGCATGTGTTGCCATTTTAGCAAAGAACAATCATGGGTGGGGATAGGGAATTACCAACATCAGTTCCTACAATGTTTAAATCATATATAGAAGCTATAGAAGACATTAGATTCTGAAGATGTGAAGATTTTCAAATATAATAACACTATTAGTTAAGTATGAGGGGGGAAAGTAATACAAAACCAGCAGAACCACAGTCTCCCAGTATTGAAAAGCCATCCAGAAACCGTGGTTTCTAAGCTAGGGTTTCTAGGCAGTTTTAGTTTTCTGGGAAGAAAGAATACCCCACTACAAAGCATAATAAAAAAGGCAGAAATTCTGTGAAAATTATTGGAGCTTTCCCACAATAAAAGATGCTGTTTTTATCTTTCTTCTTCCTTTTTTTTTTTTGTTTTTAAAGTTATACGTATTACATTAAAATTCTTAGGAAATATCTAGCCAAGATCCTTAAACAGTATGCTTCTTTGTCAGATGTGATCCATTGTGAAGCAAGTGGCAGATATATGACAAAAGGGATTTTTTTTTGATACACATGCATAATCCTCCAGCTGTATGCATGCATCAGGCCATGACAGCAGGCTACAGATTTTATGCATTACCGTCTATCAGAAATACTTCCAGCATGCTCATTGTTTTGAACCAAACGGTTAAACAAGCACTGTTGTTTCCAGCAGTACTTGAAAAAAATATCACAGCTAATTAAAGTTTTCCCTGGCAACAAAGGGAAATATACAATTATACAATATTTTATTTTGCCAAACAGAACCCAGAAATTCTAATGTGCACCCTATTAACCATACAAGAGCAGGAAGGGAGAGGCAACACAAGGTAGCAAAGATATTTTGAGCAAATAGTCAGTTGTGGCAAACAGGTCTGACTAAACAAAGCAGCTAGTGTGGTTAGGAACATGAAGGTGCTCAGGCTAGAAGTACATGCAAGTTTTAGTGGATCAATATTGACTTCAGAAAAAAAAAAGAAACGGGTAAGTGATTTAGTGATTACCGATACGGTTCAGTTTTTGTCTTTCTGCTTTCCTTCTCTCTCTTGGTCAAGGGAACCCTCTTCCATAGCATACTCCAATCCCACGCTCCTCTAGCAAACCCATCTTCGTCACCACCCCCTTGCGGCACAATCTTAAAAGTGTTGCCATCTATGACATCTATAAGCGGCACAGTGCATGTGGTTCTGCGGGGGCACACGTGCGCCGACCGTGGTTCGTGGGGAGAGAGGGGTGGAGGGAAAAAGGAAAGGGTTTAGACAATCGTTCGTTATCATTCACAGTACGTAAACAGCTCTCTTTACCGATAAGGCTCAGTTTTATGTTTTCGTTTGGACTTTTCCTTGTGGCTTAACGGAATTCGTTTCCATAGCAAACTCCAGTCCCAGGCCCCTCTGGCAAAACCATCTTCATCCCCACCTTGTTGTGGCTCAATGGAATAATCATTCCCATCTATGTAATCTATTAGAGGTACAGTACATGTAGTTCTGAAACATTTATAGAAGGGAAAGAAAGAGCAAAATACAATTTCAGAAGAGTAATCTGTCTAATCTGAAATTTACACCATTAATTAAGTTTATAGAGCAGTGTATATAAAAAGTCACTTGTAAATACACTATTAAAAAAAAATTAAGCCTCATTAGAAGAAAAAAGAGATTATCTTTTCTTTACATTGTTTTAAGATGTTCTGAAAACAGAAAAGTTAGGTCTGAGATGCTAATATATCAATTAGTTTATCAGTACGTTTTCCTTTATGTGGACTTCTTGATACCAGTCTTCTCATAAAGCACCACTGGAGGCAATGGAGGAGCCCTCATGGGACCAGGGTTGTCACAGTACTGTTATTTCCTGTAATTTCTATTCATATCAGATCTTAGCTGTCACCAAGTATGATAAACACTTGACTTTTACTAGTGTTAACAGATTTTCATTATACTGTCCTATTCAAATGCCCTGAAAAAACCCACCAAGCTCTAAGGATAAAAAAACATTACTAATGCTCTCCTAGAAGCAGTCTTCAGTAGAACTCTTCCTGTTTGATTTGCAATACACTTCTCATTTTGATCTATTACACACAGGAAAAGACATTATCTTGTTGTTCTCCCCACATTTCTCAAATGAGTTTCCCAGTGACCCAGGCAGGAGCACTTCCACCTTTTAAAATGAAGCTCCAAGAGATAGAAAAGGCAGGGGGGGAGAGATGTGTTAACACCATGCTGTTCTTTGAGGCAGAAGCAGCAGGAGGCTGTGCCCTGGGTACCAGGGCATGGAAGGAGGCTGCCAAGCACTGTCTGCTGGCACTGTGTGTCTCAGCATCTCTGGTCCTCCTGCAGCCTTCACCTCTGTGGGCAGTGCTGGAGGATTCCTCTAAAACCCCCTCTTCTCACCAGTCTTTCTTGTGTGAAACAGTAATACACACTCAATGGGAGCACACAAGAATTTCCATCTTCTCTCTAGTATCCTGTCTTGGTTAAGTTACAGTCTTTAAAACACACAAAACACAACTCTTCAAGAGAATTCTGGTAGCTCAGCAGGTTAACAAACAGTTTTTAGGATTAAGGAGCTATTTTATGGGATTAAAGAGTTTAATCCTGTACGTGGTTTCCTAAACACACATACCACTGACCACACCAGCCAAGAGTGCGGTAGCACACAGCAACATCAACACTTCAACAGCTGGAAGGAATGAAAGCCCTGGGGATGTCTCTCCTCTGCCACCCCTCACAGTGCAGGCACTTCCACCCCAGATTCCCAGCAAGTGGCTGCTCCTGCGCAGAGACAGCTCGAGCCTGGCCTCGCTTTGCTACAGACAGTGCTCCAAAGCACTTCAGAGGAAACAAATAAGACCATACGTCAAGACCGAAGATGAGAAAGTTATAAACTCTTGAGATCACGGGGGCTTTAAACTCCCATTAAATCAAAACATTTATTGCTACTTTTTCTCTACCAAAAGCCACAGGTTTTTTTGTTATTTTAGTCAATCACACTCCTTACTCAGCTAGAAAGGAACATTTCAATATCAGCGCCTCAGATCATTGTAAAAGACAAGAGTTACATCTAATCTACACTAGGCAAAATATTCAGTATGCCTATTAAAATAAGCTACCTGGAGATTAATTTCCCTGACTATATTCCTTCCTCATTATGTACCCTTTATACATAATGGGAGATAATATAATGCTCATATGGAAAACATTGATGTAGTTTGATATAGATATAAAGCATATGGACTGTAGTTTGAAAAGTGAAGATTATTACTGGGACTTTTACTTTCTAAAAGGCCAGACACTGGAAGTAAGAGGAGAACATTACCTGTCCTTAGATATAGGAGCTATAAGTGGTGCATACCAATTAATTCCCACCTCACAATGGGCATCAAGGTAAACCAAAACCTTTGAAAGAAAAAAACAATAGTAACTTATATTTCTGTAGATAACATCATTACTTAATTAAGCTTACTTACATTGAGATACACTCATATTACAAACAAGAAAATAAAGATTAAATGAGTAAAATGAATCTCTTCTTAAAACAGTATCAGTAATTTCCACGTCTGTTGAAGCCACCACAACTTTTCCCCCCAAAAAAGAAAAAAAGACAGACTTGTGAGTGAACTGGCTCCTACCTGTCCAAGTTTAGCCTTCTGGGCTCCAATGCTTCTAGCCTGGATCAAACCTTCTCTCCTCTCATTTCTAAATACCTTTACAAGGCCATTCCACTGCTTTATGTAGTCATCCAGCCTCTCTTGTAAGTGTGCTATCAGATTAAAAAAAATTTGGGGAGGTTTAATAATAAAGACTTTTATTCTCTTAATATAAGACAAAAATATCTACAGACACTTACAAGAACCTTTAATTCAACTACTCACAAACACTCAAACTGAGGAGAGCAAGACTACTGACCTCATGGCACAGGTTTGTGTCTGGCACATCTGAAGAAACGGCAGCTGAAGTAGTTGGCCACACCACAGGGAGCTGGGTGGGCAACTCACAGTCACTTCTATATATCACAGAGTGGTTTTCAGGTTTTCATCTGTATTCCAAGCAGCCAGAGAAGTGTCTACACTCCAGCACACAGTCTTTCCTCATCAGATGATGTCATATGTACAGCTGAAGGCATCACTTTTCAGTTAAACATTTCCCTTCACTCACTTTCAACCTCACAAAATTTTCTGTCAGTGTATTAATAATCTGGAAACCTGAGGCAGAATCTCACCACACTCATATTATTGCTCTCCTTCATCTAGACCCGTTCCCTCTTGTGGAGTTCTTATGATAATCTTCTAATGAAATTAACAAGAGTAATTGGAGGGCCAGAAGTGCATCATACTGAGGAGACAACAAATCTTTAGCCAAAGGGACTTCAATCAGTAAAGGGACGAGCAACCACACAAGAATCAAGATAACCTATGCTTATATGGTTTCAGATTTGTATTTGCAGATTTGTATTTGTCTGTGCCAAACTTCTCTGGAAACCACATTCCTGCCACACAGTTTGAGAAAAGCATCCTACTGTTGGCTTAACATTTTTGCCCAGATGATTCTGTTGAGAAAACTCATGAAGGCAGAAACGCTGGTAACTGCCTGCCTGCTGTTTGTGGCTATGTTGATTTAGTACTGGTGTTTCTTAAAAATCTATTTTTGTACTCAAAGGCTCAAAATAATTGCCTACAGCTTCAGTTTCTCTCAGTCAGGAACCAAAATAAGTCGCCTAATCTACAGTTGAGGCATCCATGCACTGGTTTGCTTTTTACCAGCTCTGAGGGGCTGATAGCCACAATTCCTGTGCCTTGGAGTGGCTGCCTAGAACAGAGGCCAGGCAAGACTAAGAGAATAAAGTGGGTATTTATTAAAGGCCTTCAATACATACACCTTGGACAGTCCAAGCCTCCAAGAGAGGCTACAGCCAAGATGGATGATGGTCACAAGTTTTTCAGACAGATGTAAGCCGGTCCATTTACAGATCAGGGGTTAATCCTCCAAGGATAGCTTCAGGTGGTGAAGTCATATTCCTCCAGTTTGCTCCCCTCCAATTCACTTCTGTTTATACTTTTTGGGGCCTAAGGATGTAAGGTGCCCTTGAATCTCAGGCCCAGATGGATTGTTTTCTCTGACCAAAATGTGAAGATAATTAACTAGCACTTCATATGGAGTTTAGAGTTATGCACTAATGCAATACAGGATTTGAAAAATATAAAGGCTAAAATCCTAAGGCATAGTGCTGATCTAACAGGATGGGGGGGGACATGCTGAGGACGATGCCCCTTTCAGCAGTAACATGCCATCAGGTTACTTCAGCAGAAATGCTTTCTGCAACCTGAATGAAAATGATGAAGTCTGGAGACTTCCACAACTTATGTTTCAGTATGTTTTGTGTCCTTGTCAGCAGTATTAAAAAAAAAAAAAAAAAAAAAGTTTGAAAAAAAGCTACACGTATTTGAAAAGGAAATGGTGTTTCTTGGAAATGAAGTTTCCAATATTGAAAATTCAGCAATTCTACCAAAAAAATGACCTTTTGAAATCGCTATCTTTTGATACTCTTATTATCCTTCCTCTCCACCTTTATAACAGAAAAAGTTTTCTCAACCAAGTTTTACGTATTCTCCTTTCCCACACACATTTAAAATTTCTTTTGTAAACCCTTGTGCATTAGGAAAACTTCAAGGTTACACAAATGTCAAACTAGAGAAAGAACAATTTTATCACATATGCTGTAAAGAAGAACATGCCATGTAATAAATAGAGAATATATTATTTGATAGCTGTGATATAAATTTTTATAGGATAAAATCAACAGAGTTTTGAGGTCATACTGAAGTGGTACTAAGAGAATCTTTATACCACACCATTATTTATGCTGCAAATTCCAAGTATGTGTTACGGAAGGACTGTCAGGAATGTTTTAAAGATTTAAAACCTGAAGTTATTTCCAGCTCTCCTGCCTATGAAGCCAAATGTTTTACTTATCAAATGTTCAGCTATGTAAGGCTCACAGGGAGCTGTAAAAACCTGTCATATTGATTGTGTAAAGCTTTTCTACAGTACAAGTCTCAGGATTTTGCAGTCCATTATCTGAAACCATGCCAGGGTTAGCAGCAAGTGCTGTTTCCCACAGGAAAGCTGAAATTTTCCTCCTTCCCATACTACAAAGCCTGCATGACAGTAGTGTAAAAAATCCTGATACTTTTACAGTCAAAAATATTGTTTGGCCAGCATTACATTTTGTTCACCTAGAATGTGTATTTATGACATCTGTCAACAGCCTTACAGCAATCTGGTTTTTGTTCAAAAATGTATATTTTACCTTTCAAAATATTACAATCACCAATCTGGCCTTCCCCTGTTTGAGTTCCTCTCTCATGTCTGAGTGCTTGATTAAAGCATGAATCAGTGTCCTTTAAAAACACACGGTTTCTCCAAAGGACCTTGGGCACTGCATATTACAAAGGGGGAGGTGGAGGAAAGCAGGTTTTTTTGCCCCTCAACTCAGACAGCAGTCTGAGAACTAGAAAAATGGTATCAGAAGTGCTTCTAGAGGAGCTGCCTCCTGCCTGTGAGTACCCTGGACTGTAATACTGTTAAATATTGTTGGGGCTCTCAGCTCCAACACTAGCACTGATTACTGCTTCAGTTTCCCCATGGCAAGAACCACTACACAGGTTAATAAAAATACTGCTGCCTGCCCATGCTCATTACTTCCCCTTTGGTTATCTCATGGGATGCTGCATCAGTTGGAAACACAGGTAACAATAAATAACATATAAGCAAATACAAAAGGTAGACAAAGCCTTTAAATGCTACTAGGAACACTGGTATTTTTTACCTCACAACCACTCTTTACAGGTGCACAGGCTACAAAAGCAGTTCCAGCTGAGATATTGGCCTCTGTGCTTCAGAAAACAAGTAAGCTGGGGCCCAAATACATAACAAGTGCTGGAGACCTATACACACAACTGTAATTGTAGGAAGCTTTAGAAAATACAGTTTTATGAATTCTCATTGCCCTTCCAGAACAGCTGTTTCCTTCACACAGCTGGCATTCACAGAAGAATAAAGTGTTTATTGAGACTAGAAGAAAAACTGGGTAAAAAAACCAAAACCCATGTGTAACAGCCTGGCCTCATTGACACTGTGGTAGAAATTGCTGCAACATTTCTTGGACTCTAACATGAATTAATACAGAGGTCTCCATAGAAAATGGAGATAGAATCATTCAATTAGCTTGGCAATCTTCTTGTTACTGTTCTCTTTGTGTTCTGACAAAGAAAAAAATGCCAGAGTAGAAATCAGCACATATCTCTGCACAGTTCTCCACAGTCAAACCCTGCTGTTTACAGGAGAGATTATGGAAAGAGTGTCATTCAGCAAAAGTACTGCTCCCAACCAAATTATACTAAGAACTATAAAGAAAAGGACATTTTCCAAGCACTGCAACTGCTCCTCCCTGTAAGACATAACATATATAAGCTTCTATGCAGCTGTAACTCCCTTCTGAGGAAACAAGATTTCTGGTAAGGAAGGACAGGCACGGGGTTTTAGGAGCCAGCCTTTAGAAGTGTTTGCAACTGCTGTGCTCCATTTTAATTTCATGCCACTCGAGAGGATGGCAGCAAAGAAATAAGGACAGCAACTCTGGTCACTCAGCAGCGGGCTGCAAGAGCATAAGGTGGTCTGCTGGGTGGAAAGGCAGACACGAAGTGTGCAGCCTGAAAGCAGGTGGGGAAGAAGAAAATCTTGTATCTGTGCTGTCAGCATGACTTTTCTTCTGGCTGAAGAAGCAAAAAGCTACCAGCAGCTCTGCTGTGATTAAGAGTGTTTGTATTTTGCAGCTCTCCTAACAACTGGAGAACTCTTCAGGCAGCTTGGCACGCTTTGCAGCCCATACTAGTTCATCCTTCTCTCTAAGGAGAAAGAAGTAGGGCAAGATTCTGCTCTCTTGCCCATTTTTCATCTAGAACATAATTTGAATTAATGAAATTAAGTTAATTATATTTACCAAGTAATAGCCTAAAGCAATTTGAAGAATTATTATGGGGAACTAGTGCAATTGCAGCGAGGTGTTTAGAGTAATTCCAGTCCATGCTTGTCTTACCACACCTGAGAAAACTGCACCTTGAGCTTTCTTTATTGAATTTTCTGATTTAAGAAAGTTATCTGGGAAATTGTAGTGTGAGAAATACAGAGTCAAGGCTCTGCTGAATCTTGGGTGCAGGCTAGCTGTGTCTGCTAACCATTCATTTATGAGCAGAAAGCAAAAAGTTCTGTATTAGGAAAAAAAATCTTTAAAAATACTGCTTTTGTTTAACAAATGTCATATATTGGAAAAACAGTACAAGTTCTATGCCAGACAAACTCATTCCGTTAACTACATATACATAGCACAGAGTCAGCTACAAGTCATGTGAAACCCAAATATTGAGACCTATCATTAGTAAAAAATCTGGTAAGTATTCTAGACACAATCAGCGTCACAGTTACTTTATACAGCTAAGTCAGTCCTTGAACAGCTCTGAAGGAAAGCTATAATCCTAGCTGAGAAGCAAAAACACAACATATGTCTGCTGACTGAATTATTAAAATTATATCCCTTAGGAGAGAAGATATTTTTGGTTTATAGCATGTGTGTATATCTAAGCCAAATTCTCAACAGCTGTTAAAGGATCCAGAAGACTATAATTTAGCACTCAGTATCTTTATTTGACTAAGCCAAATGTAGTCAAGTTTATAATACAGGTAATACTTACCCTCTCCTGTGAAAACAAACAGAAAATGATACCTACCTATCTACAGGTATGGTGCAAAAAATAACACAAAATAACTACTTTTAATAGTGGCTTATACTCAAAAAAAGCTACCTCAACTATGTGATGAGTTAATTTTTAAAATTTGTAGTGAATACACCCGTAGAAAACAGCTACTACAACACTGGAACTGGAAGAAGCCCAGATCATTTCATAAAAAGGAGAGTTTCAGAATAGTGAAATAGTTCTGTTTGTTATGCCACTACACAATTAATGTGAAAACAATGACGAGGGTATCCTGTGCCACTGACCAAACCTGCTCAAAGCCATCACCAACATTGTCTAGAAGAGACTGTCATCCCACACAGTCAAAATCATATTTTTATTTATGTGTCTCCTCTTTTTCTCTGTCAACATCTCTTCAAGAACCACGCTGCAAACAAAATCTTACAGAAAGATCAGCTTTGATGCACTATTTTGAAATTTGTTTAAAGCTGAACAACAGTTTGTTTTCCCCTATCTCAGTCAACTTATATCTCTTGGAGACCACTTTCAGTTCCTCTCTGTATTCGGCCTTGTATTGCATTAACACTGACAATACCACCATGAAAGAGAAAAACCAAAACAGTGTATGCTTACATTTATAAGACAAGTACAAGTACATGCATTCTGACAATAAACCAAGATCAGAATGTAAATTACAAAGGAAGAAGAAAATCTCCGGACTTACATTGGCAGGACTCAAAGAAAGGCAGAAATTAAAACATATTCAAATTCTTAAAAGCTTCCTTCCCTCAATAAGAAACAATAAGCAGCTTAATGTGATGTTTAATTAAAAATGGATGTTAGAAATGAAAAAGGTATTGCAAATTAATCTGAATAATTTGCCTAGGTAGGTTTTTATCATAGTTAAAAAAAGAGAAATCTGTATTCTTTTATGTAATAAAGGAAGCCTGTTACTCCTAACAGGCTTAACCCCTTTGATACTTTTCAAACTACTTGTTTTCACAAGAGCTAAGAGAGATACTAGCTATCCCAGCTTTCTTCTACATAGTACCCAAAACTGTGGTAGAGAACTCAAAGGACTGTGAAGAAGCAATCTTTTCTCCCATTAGTCAATTCAAACCATGGCAGGTAATAAATCAAAGGAAAGCTATTTCAGGAAAATAAAAAAAAATAATTTTCTACAAGGACTGTGTTAATATTCCAAATGTACCTTTGTTGCTAAAATCATCAATCAGAACAATTTCTGCCAAGTATTTTCTTGGTGTTCTCTTGATGACACTGTGGACTGTCCTCATGAGCGTGGACCACCCTTCATTATGGAAGACGATGACAACGCTGGAGGTGAGCAGGTTGTCATCATAATGCCAGTATTTGCATCTGCAAAAAGAGTCAATTTTATTAGTTTTCACACTGTCTTTTACAGAACTGCTTAACAGCATCCTTGGCAAATGAAATGTTCACTGACAGCTATCCTTCAGATTTAAGAGAGACAGGATATAAAAGGTAATACAGCTTAAGTGCATCACAGATACAGATACAAATAATTAAAAAAACCAACACCAGACTGTCAAGCACAAGCTTCAGCCCTGGTGCATTTTCAGTGGGCTCCTTCCTTGAAAGATATGACACATGGAGGAAAAAAAATACAAGAAAAGAGAGAGAGAAAAAAAACCCAAACAAAAAAGTACAGATGAGTCAGGTCTTTTTTCTGAGGGGTTAGAGATGATTTAGAAACAAGCAATTTGAGTACTTCCAATACCTTCCACAGTTTCCAATACTTCTAATACTTCATATTTATCAACAATGGATTTAATTTGCAATTTTAATGCCCATTTTCCCAAAGTAAGACTATTCACTCCCTACAAGCAGTCCAACTATTTCCTTATCTGGAAGTTTCCCTACCTGATCAGTAGCCCCTTTTCCAATTATAATAATATAATTTCCATCACTGAACATAGAGGCATAGCATTTTTTATTCCAATGGGAAAAATCCTTTTTTTTTCTTCATCTTTCAGCAAATAAAGTCTCAACTAGAGAGATTCTGACTTTTCAAGGACAGCTATCATGTATTAAGAAATTATTAGTGACAAATAAAAACTCCCAAACTTACAGATGCAAAAACCTCCCTAGTTGTAGTTCTCTTTATACAATAAAAAGCTTAAGTGCACAGAAACATTGCTGCTTTTGAAAATAATTACATTAATCATCAAAGATCATTAGAGTTTCTGAAACTACACTCAGTTAAACATGGAAAGAACTCACATAACAGATCCATAGGTATTTGAAGAGCCTCTCTAGTGAAGGATGCATTTCACTTCTCAATGCATCAATATGCATTTCTCACCTCACAAAAAATAAAAGACATTGATAGAAATATACCATTAATTTTGCTCATGTGGGAGGAGAAAATTACAAAATCAAAACAGATTATAGCAAAATTTATCTAATAAGGCATTTCATTTCTTTGGAGTGCTGTAAGCAACCTCTGAAACAGCACAATCTGTAAAAGTACAAACTACTGACTAAAATCCCTCAGCTCAATAGTTTTTATGCCTGAAGTAGCTGCAGCTAATCATAGTTACCAATAAAAAAGTGCTAGACTGGCTGTTTAAAAGGTTCAGGCCACGGATGCCTTCCTTCCACAGATCCCTCTCAAAGATTCCAGCTGATTACAGGTTGCAGTACCAACACTTGTAGCACAAGCGTTTAAGCTGTCAACAACTTACTTAGCATCTGCAGAGATAAAATGGATACCCTCCCTAGGTGTGTTAAGTAAGGTGTGTAAAAGGAAGATTTAATAGGTTTAATAACAGATTTATAACAGAACGGTGTTGCTTCACACATATATTCTCAGTACTAATTTTGGTGATATGGTTACAGGGTGCTATCCTTTCAAAAAAAACAGCATACCAGCTGAATGCCATTCAAGAGCTCCATGTAAAAGGTAGCAGAATAGCACTTTTTTCTCAAAGGAAAAGGCAGGAGCTTACAGCTTGCACGATGCTCCTGACCTGTGCCCGTTGCAGTTTAGCTAGGAAACTTTTTTGCTTACTTCTAAATAAAAAGAGAGGCACAGCTACAATGTTTCAGACTGCCTTCAATGACAAAACCAAAGAAAACCTCGAAAAAGAACTCAAATCTTTTGGTTGCTTATTTCTTCCACTTCCACAAAAATTTAGTACATTTTTGAAACATAAACCCAGATGTCTAGACCAGCTTTTAGCTACACAGCCAACTTAAATCTCCCCAAATCGAGTGTTGCTAAATGTGCCATTTACAAGCAGTGAAGCACTACATTTATATCTGTAGTAAGATCATGCTACCAGCTTTTTCCAGACACTTTATTTCACTTATTAGACAGCCCACAGACCGACTCATCAAGCCCATAAACTCTGACAGACTGCAGTAATTCCTGTGCACAGTCTTCTTTCTCATCCTGAATTGAGAATTAGAGGTTTGAAATATAGTAGTTGTTTTAGAGATGTGCAATTAATAAATGTTTACATCTCTGTGGCAGTTTTTTTTTCAATAAAAAATTGAAAATTGAATGTTGCTGAGGTATTTGAGTGACAAAAGCCAGTAGCCTAATTTCCTTTAGATCTTCAGGGAAGGAAGCAGGCAAAGCTTTCCCCAGTGGAGCCTTTCCTCAGTGGAGCAGCACTGACATCCAGTGGTTGGCACACCACATACCAAGAAACCATAAATGCACTTTCTTTCTGTTTGAAGCTGGATTTTACAGTACGAGTTTCCCTGTAAATTTCAGGCACAAAAAAGGAAAAAATATGCCTGAATTTCCAGGAATGCTCTTCATTTTTAAAAGAGAGGGTAAACTAGATATGAATGTTTAGACAAAAGGTTCAAGCTATTGAAAACTGGCACAAGCAGATTCAAAGTACAGAAGGGTCTGTGACAAAGAGGATTTAAATGTTTCAACCTCTAGCTTCATCCCCTGGGTGCTTCATCCCCTGCCCACATACTAGCACAGTGCCCTTTCAGGTGTACCCTGCAGGCCAGCTGTGGCAATACACGGTGAACAAAATTAGTAAACAAAATCACTTTAAAAAGGTATTTTGAATTCTTATTGATAGAGCTCAGCGGAGGGCACATTGCAGCAGAGATGCAGGGATGACAAGGCAGCATCCTTAAGCCAGGCTTGGCTCTAGACACTTCACATCACCTTTCCTGAACACTGTAAAGAGATATATGGAGGGCTGGCAACACCTTCCCTGGGCAGTGCTGCAGAGAAGAGCTGCTCTGTTTGTCTGCCCTTTCCTTGGGGAACTCATGGGTGAAAGGAAACAACACCTCCAGATCAGTCCACGAATAAAAAGTTTCCATTCCGCAATCAGCGCTGGCACTACTGGGAAAACCAGGAGTGACTCACGGCTGAAGCAAGGCGAAACCCTTCAGAAGGCACAGCTGTGATCTAACTGAGGAACGGTGAGTAATGTTTTTGCTGTCTATTAGCCTGCATACTTAGGATGTGAATTAGTTCTACTCCCTCTCCACCCCTGGAGGGAACAGCTCTGCTGGAGCCTGCGCCACACCAAGGTCCCTCATCCCTCAATCACAAAGCTGTGCACCAGCCACGCAGAGCAGTGCTTTTACAGGAGACCCTCTGCACAAGAAACTGAGCATCTGGGCTGGAGTGCTCCTTGGCTTGAGGAAATTTCTGCTCTTACAGCTTTGTACTCCATCCACTGGCTTGCTCTTAAGATGTCCTGGGGCCCCACAGTCGTGATTGTGGGTACATGGTCCAAGGCTGGCATGGCCATACAGGCTCCCTGTTAGCTACCACTGAAGATGCAGATATAGACTCAAATTGCCTCAGGCTTAAAAAAAAGCCAGAAGTGGAGTCTGCTTTTCCTGGAAGAGTAATCAAACACCAACAAAAATGCAACAGCTGGAAAAGGAGAGCACCTCGACAGCAATTTAAGGGTGAGCCCCATCAGATAGATACTTAGAGGGCAATTTAAGATCTTGAGCCAACAGAAGTGTTTCTCCTGTCATGCTGAACCCCTGACTGTGCCAGCATTATCAGCACATAAGCTTCAGAAAAAGCAAGAGGTATCATGACTGTGTATCATGACTCTCCATCCTTATACTATTTTCCTTGTGTCAGCTCTTTAACTTCCACCTGCACGTATCAAGGACTCATCAATACCCTCTGGATTTTAAAGCACTGTACTTATGTGCTAAGAGCAAAATGTACCAGCACAGACTCCTCCAAGAAGGCAGGCAGCTGCCATCACATTCCTGTAATCACTCCAGTAGCCAAAGAAGCCCCATAGAAGCTAATCAGCTGTTGCAAGATGAAGGACCCAAATCAGTACAAAGCTGAAGGTCTCAATTTATTATTTATCCTGAAATCGTAACCAACATTAAAAAATGGAATTTCTTGTCTCAATTAATATAGATCTGTTCACAATTTAAAACTGTATTTTAAATTTTATTTCATGTTTAAAGTGGTATGAAATTCATAGTTGCACTATCACCTATTATAAGTGCTTTATAGTGCATGCATCTTTCTCAACTCTTTCAAAGAGTCCAGCACAAGCAAATCCCAAAAATAAGTTAGGAGATCTGCTTTCATTTTCAGTTTCCTTTTCTAGAAAGTCCTGTTCTTATCTTACAAGGAGACAGGCATCCAGCTGACAGCATACTGTTTACATACTTTTAATACTGAATTCAGGGCTCCTTGCTATTTTAAATCACCAATTTATTATAACTATTGCAGTGAACTGAAACTAACCCATAGGAAGATGGATGGGAATTTTTTTTCACAAAACACCTTCAACTGTTTGCTCATCTATATGGTTGACACCACCAAGATCATAGCTGAGACTGGCTGCTTAACAGCCACAAGTCAGAGGGATCATTGCCTAAGTCTAGGGTAGACAGGACAGACAGAAACAGATCACAGAATTTCTTTGTTAGGATACAGCTAAGTAAATCTAATGCTAACACTGGATTTGTTACCTATGAAGCCTCATGGGGAATTTTTGTGCATCAGCAACATCAAAACAAGATTACAGCAGTGGACTTACAAAACAGGGGCTCTGGAAGAGAAGTAAACAGACAACTCAAGAAGGACAGATTGATCAGCTGAATAATTTTTTTCCCTTCAGCAGACAGCAGTAAAACCTTTATTACACACTACCAAACAGCTTAAACCTATGCTGAAACAGCATTTTCTATTTTTAAATAGCTACAAGCTTTACCCATTTCTGTTCCTGAAGTAACTTGTGAGGCTATGTGATTATATTTTATTATTAGTGCCCTTGGAAGTAAAAGCTATATCTACGGTACCTCTGAAAGCATCATGATCCAAATCCAGGACAAGGTTTGCATAGAAACCCAACATTAGGGATAACAAG